TTTTTTTTGACATCCCCCCCCATTTCTTCTACCTTCCGTCTTAATCTTAATAGTAGAACTGAATTCGTATTGCTTTAAAGAACTATTGCAACTCGGTCCAGATCTGTGCATGTCAAATATATATAGTGCATAACATATAGCAGTGTCCTAGATCATGTATTGCATAACACTGTGAACTAGTTAACATGAACCAGATCAAACCAGCGGCGGCTAATCAGTCACTGCGACCTTATGGATATGCCAGAGCGTCCAGCCATCGACAGAATTCTTTTGACTGTCAGTTAGAGTATTAGCAGTTTTGAGTCGTCGAGTAGTTTATTTATCCGAAGGAACAGCTCTTAAGTTTTATGGCTTAAAATAGAGAAAGCTTTGTTCTCTGAGAGAGATCTAAACAAAAACCTTAAAAGTTCCTGGTAAACAAGATTTTGTGCTTTGTGTGTTTAGTTTTGTTGTGGCAAATTGCATGGTAGATTTGTTGAGCCTCACATTTAATGTTAAGCAAGGGTTGGTAATTAATCCTGAGTAGTCAGATTTTTAGCTGTTTGATTTGTGAGGTCAATGGGGTTTCAAGACTTTCTTTGATCATTTTTTGAAGTGCTTCATGATCTCATTAGCTGTTAGATAGTTTGCAAAATAAAATCCTTGTAAAATTTTTTTTTATTTATTTACTGTTTGTAGCCATGCATGTTCAAATGGACATTTGACTGTTTGCATTACATTTAATCATTTATCCAAATCAGCTTACAATTTTTTTAAATTTACTGTTTGTAGCCATGCATGTTCAAATGGACATTTGACTGTTTGCATTACATTTAATCATTTATCCAAATCAGCTTACAAAGAAAAACAAAAACAAATTGTCACAGAGACAACAATATTCATAACATACAATGTAGGGTTTATTTTAAAACAAAATTAGGAAGTAAGATTGAAAACAAAACAAAACAAAAAAAAATGTATTTTGCATTTTGTCTTGGATTTATTTTATTTTATTTTATTTTTGTCCATAAGTCATTTTTAGAGGTTAGTAATTAAGCCTGTGTAGTCAGCTTCGTGACTAGTCAACTACTTTATTTAGACGTTTTATATATATTTTAGAGCTGATGCTTTAATTTGCATCCTGACAGTAAGCTACTTAACTTTTACACAATTTATTATTTATCTATAAATTTATCATATTAAGCACTGTTTCTAAAGCCAAACATGTTTGTACGGGGACATTTGTTGTGTGTGTGTGTGTTTTTTCACTTTATTTGTTTATTTATTAGATTTTTTAATAGTATTTTTTTGTTTATTTATTTTATTTACTTATTTTTTGTAGTGCCCTGCCATGAGCGTAGTGTTTTTAAGATACTGTTTAAATAGTGTAACTTGTATTAAATGTGTCTTTAAACCCCTGCATTCGTCTCTATTCTGGTGCGCTCCTTCAACTATAGCTTCTTTGAACACATTGGAAAAATGAAAATTCTGAAATCATATTGAAAAAAAATTCTAATTCTAATTAATTGACTACATGCCCAGGCAACTAATTAACAAGTTGATTTTGAAAATATGCAGTTGATGCAGTATGATGACCACAATATGTACATGCATCTATATTTATAACTTCTTTTCCATCTGTGAAACTGTCCGTCTGTACAGTCTGTTTGTGTTAAAGCAGTGTTTCCCAACCCTGGTCCTGGTGCGCCAGAAGTACGCTGCATATTTTGTACGTCTCCCTAATCAAACACACCTGATTCAACTCATCAGCTCTTTAGAAGCGACTCCAAAACCTGAAATGGATGTGTCAGATTAGGGAGACATTCAAAATGCGTAACATTAGGCGTTTGAGACGCACAGTTTTATAGCAGTAGTTAGAGTTGGGGTACTCGGACTCAAGTCCAGTCTCGAGTACAGTTTTTTTAAAGGAGTCATGGACTCGGAATCATTTTTACTCGGACTTGACTCGGACTTGAGCCTTTTGGACTTTTAAGTCTTGTCCAGTACTTGAAAGCCGATATGTTTCTGTGCTCACACACCGAAATCGCGCTCACAGAATAACGCGCCTCTCAGTCAGTGTGCGAATGCCGAGTTCTTTCGCTTAAGTTCTGTTATTGCTACACACTTACACGAAAAGTTATGTCAAAATGCCCGTCTTGGAGACTATTCATGTAAATGCAGTCGGTTTTGTCTTAAGTGACTTGAACAGTTGGGAGAAATACGGACGTGTCAAAATATTTGATCTATGCGTCAGATCTTAAAGGGTTAGTTCACCCAAAAATGAAAATTAGGCTGTGTTTTACTCACCCCCGAGGCATCCTAGGTGTATATGGCTTTCTTCTTTGAGACGAATCCAGTCGGAGTTATATAAAAAATTGTCCTGGCGATTCCAAGCTCTATCATTGCAGTCAGCGGGTGTTGCAGTGCTTCAGTCCAAAAGAAGTGAAATAAAAAGCGCCCATCCATAAAAAAGTGTCTCACACGGGGGGTGAACAAAGGCCTCCTGTAGCGAATCGATGCGTTTTTGTAAGAAAAATATCCATATTCAAAACTTAATAATCACTTTAATTTAGCTTGCGCCAACAGTTGTTACACACGGAAGCAGCTCCGGGAGGATGACGTATGAGTTTAGCGTTGCGCATTTTTGAGTAATATATTTATTTATCATTTAGCTTGTAAGTAATACTTGGAGTGTTTACTTGCCTTCAGTAAGCTTGAGAATGTTTTATTACATTAGTTTATTATTTTTTGCTTTTGTATTGATTTTTGTAAACATAGTGGCAGTTTCTAGCTTGCTTGAAAAAAAATTTTTCTAACATCTTTGTGGCAATAGTTTTTATGGGTCCAAAATTACCTTGGGGGCATCCATTCATTTTTTCGTTTTTTTTAACCCAGAAATTAAAATGTAGATTCTTCTTTAATGGTTCAAACACTGATGAATAGAATAAGCCGACACAAACTAATTTAGATTATTCAAAATTCATATTTCATTTTAAAAAATCATAAAAATTATATAAAGCTAGTTTTTTTATTGAGATAAAAGGTGCATTTTCTGCTCTTAAGGTCCCATTCACCAA